ATTTAACTGAAAGGAAACCTCCGGGAGTCCACTGCTGAGAGCTGCCCCCTCCTCCAGGGTATAAACCTTTATTGGGTAGAGGAAGGGGGGTCAAGGAGAGCTCCGGAGACTTAAAACAAAAAAAAGACAAGTACACAAGCACAAACAACGATAGAAATAAACCTGGGAGACCAGGGTAACAAACCACAATAAACAAATAGGAACCAAGAGTTCCACAACACAGGGGTCAGGGAGACCAGAGAGAAGGGGAAACCAGGAAGTGAAAAAAACAAAACACCAAGCAAAAAACAAAAATAAAAACACAAAAACCTGGGAAAAATACCACAGACTAGGCAATAGGCACGTTCAGATTCTATCACTGATATCGTACAACCCGAGGAAAGCCAGGCCGCAGCCCGCTCACAGGCACAGATGACTGGAGTGATATCCAGCAATAAGAATGGAGGAATGGCAAAAAAGGCTCACCAAACTAACGCTGATATCAGCAGAAGACAACCCGAGGAAAGCCAAGCCACAGCCCACTCACAGGCATGGATGTCAGGAAGGTGATATCCAGCGATTAGAATGGGAGAGGAAAAAAGGTTCACACCCTATTGCTGATATCAAAGTGGACAACCTGAGGAAAGCCAGGCACACAACCCACTCACAGGCATGTATGACCGGAGCGATATCCAGCCATGAGGACTGGAGGGCCAGCTCAACATTCAATCACGGATGCCGGAATGACAACCCGAGGAAAGCCAGGCCGTAGCCCGCTCAAAGGCACAGGAGAAAAAGCATCCCACGATTAGAATAGGAGAGCTGAGAGAAAAAAAAGCCCAGAGAAAAAAAGCTGTGGAAAAACAAAAAAGCACTGCTCGGGGGGTCAGAAGGAGGCTCAGCATTCTGTCAAGGACGTTGGAAGGGACGAACCATGGAATGTCAGGAGAGCAGAAAAAGACCCATATGCATAGCGGCGTAACGGGGGATTAGCCTGGGCTCAGCAGTTCAGGAGTCTAATAGAAAGCCCTCAGGCAGCGGACATGGGACAACAAGGTGCTAGGCAGGTCTCGGGACATCCGAACATCAATGCTGAACCAAGGTGAATAAGAGACCTGGAAATATATAGCGCCAGAGAGACACCGGAAGGATAGCAAAGCACAGGAAACTATGGACAGGACAGAGTAGGAGCGTTCTCTGGCTGCAGTGACTGTGTTTGAATCTGAAGCCTGGAAGAAATGTGATCACTCGTGGGAATGTTGTGGTCTCTAGGGTCAGCAGTGGGCTGCAAGCTGCTGCCAATCTGGGCATGACAATTATCTTTTACTTTGTGAGCCCAAGGGCAGTACTGTTTCCCATTGAATGGGTCCAGTCATTGCTAACCCACTGGTAATTTGGAAGGTCAAAGACTCGTAAATTTCAGAATCTTCCACCTTTTTGGAATAATATACTCCTGCTAACTCTTAAGCTCTTACCTTCCCTGGTCTTTAAGCATGATTTGTGATATCATTGATGACAATTGCCTGTGTATATTTCAGGATCTGAGAGAGAGTCACTTGATCTCTATTATCAGCATCTCAGACGTCTCAGTTCTTCATGCCTACAGGTTTTACTTAATCAATCCATCCAGTGGCTGATACATTGCTACTAAATCCACCATACACATCTAACTTCTTCTGTGTGTGTCCTTCTTCACAAGTGTAAAATAAACCCTCAGATAGAAAGTTTTACATGGGCTAGAGACCTATATTAGCTGGATTAAAATCTTATCCAGTAGATTTGTACATATTTTTATATATTGTATATATATATATTGTTTTCTTATGTAGAAATATTAAAATATAAAAATTGTAACCAAATATGATCTTAAAAATAATGGAATCTCTTAAATGTAATACTAGAATATTACATTTATGTAAAAAAAAAGAAAAAAAATATAGATGGAATGAAAGGACATCATTCTATAATTGTTCAGTGACTACAAATATATATACACTGAGGAAAGCAGGTTTAAACATTTTTTTCTATATTAAAACATTCCAGTAGGCTAATCACACCTGTTTATTTAAAAATATGGTAATCATAAATCTGTCTGTATAATACTAAAATTAGTGAATCAGTGTTAAAAAAGATGTAGATGTTTAAAGATTTGTATTCCAATGGTCCTGGTCCACCTTGGAGGCAAGGTGTTGAAAAATTCTGCTCCCTAAAACAAAACCCAGTTATTTTGGTGTAGGAAAAGGATATTGAAAATTTAGTCCAATTTTTCTTTTTGGCAGATATTCATTGAGAAGTTGGCATTGAGAAGAGCCTTTTCTTGAATTATTCCTATAAAGTTTGTTCAGTCAAAAAACGGTTATGAAGAAGAATGTTATCTTAAGAAACTGCAGTGTTTTTCACATGTTCTTCAACAGCCTCCAAACCTTTAAAAAGATAAGGCAGATTGCGTGTGTGAGAGCAACTCAAACTACATACTGTATGAGGGTGTAACCTTTACAAGTGGAAACATTTCACTGAAGGAAAAACAATGGTTGCACTTTCATTTGTAACAGCATTACAGCAACTCCCTTTTTGTTTTTTTGTTTTTTAAACTGCAATTGTAGAAATAGTAGAATGTTAATTTAAATGTAGGGGATTTATTCCACCTTATCTTAATTTATTTTAATTATTTATACAGTATATTTGCAATAAAATATTTAACCCACTTGTTATGCAGAAAACATGAACACAGCATTCAGTATATCTAGCAAATTCTGTATGATATTTGGTGTATTTTAACAGTATGTATTTTTCAGCATGGAATAAACCTTTACATGTTTTATAGCTATAAAGCATAACTATTCATACTATTATTTTATTATCATCGTTGTTATTAATTTAAAATATATCTAGATTAACATTAAGGAAATGTAATCCTAACCTTGGATATTGTATTCATAGTGTATTTCATTATTATACAGTAATTAAAACCTTCTCACTGTTATTTTCCTTTAACTTTGGCCCTCCTACATACTTTTGCTATTACACACTGTTGTTTTCCAACTTATGTCAATATAGGTAAGTGGAAAAGGAAAGGAGGATTGAATCAGATGCCATAAATTAATTTTCAATTTACTTTGGAACCTAGATCTTTAAACAAATTAAATTTCTTATAACCGGAGCTTTAACCTTTTTCCTGGCTTTTTTGTGAGATTCAAAATTATTTTTTATCAAATTGGAAACAGCCTTACCTTTTTTTCTTTTTTGGCATTTGAATTGCCTCTACTTAGCAAATATAGTCAAAATAGGCTGAGATTTTCCAAGACTGTTGTATATTTTATCATATTTAAAAGGATTGTTGAATAGGATGTTGCAAACACACCGAACCATACAATGTGCACTACCGTACATACATAGAGAGAACATTTAAATACTGTATAAGGAATATTAGATAGAAGTTCCTTTTACAGTAAGGATGTGTTCCAAGTAATGTAAATAGTAAACTACACCATGGAGTCTAGCTCTATACCAAGTATTGAAGGAGTAGAAGTTACTAGCTTAGTGTATAACCTAAACATTTCACTTAAAAACATACCATATTTTATATATTTAATAATAACATAAATCTTGCATTTTATGTTGCCATGCTTTATATTATTATTATTATTATTATTATTATTATTATTATTATTATTATTATTATTACAGCTGCTGCTTTCTACATGGTTTATCAAGTGCATTTTAAAACACATCTTTTGTATTCTTTGACAGTTTCTACAACTGGGAAACCCATGTTTCAACATCAAATCCTAGTCCAAACTACCACGTGATGGCAGAGAATTCAAATGGGTTGCTTTTTAAGAACAAAAGAGACAGAAAAATACTGAATGTGGATCCAAAGGTACAGTAACTCAGAAGCATGTTTGTGCAAGACTGACATATGCTATGAAAGATGTTTGAGACCTACACTGCCACGATTATTTATTGATTCCAAGCACAATAAATGATAAAGAAATAATCAACATAGTTTAAAAAAAAACAGCAGCCACTCCTCACCAGGTGTGGAGACTAATGAAAAGAATGCAAATCCATGAAACTCCTAATAATAACAGAAGGGAAATTATCACTTCTAAATGAGGATTATAGTGTTTGTGTAAACAAAAGCATCTCTGAAGACTGGACATAAACTGAAACCTTTTTTGTTTCCTTTTTCCACTTTCAAGGCATCACCTGGTGATAATTCTGCAAGAACACCAATCCAATCAGACCTCTACATTCAAGTTGTCATTTATGATCACATTACTAGGAGGAAAACTTAAGGTTCCTGTGATTAGATTTTCAAATACCATCCATTAACACATTGTGAACCAATCAAATTAAAAATGTGGTGATAAGCTTGAGAAGCCTTCCATTTAATATGTACTGAAGCATTTTAAAACACAACAAATGAAAATTTGAAACAACAACATGTGTTATGTTTTAATTCTTCTTATTATGCATGTAAGTTCACTGAAGCCTTCTTTTCGTACAGCGTCTATTTTTAACAAAACATACACATTTTTAGGAGCTGAAATATTATAAAACATACAGGTTTTTAAATGACTGACTTAATGTCTGTTGAATTGTTATGTTCTGAAAAGTAATAAAAATGTTCAAAATGTTATTTGTCATAAATGAAGATGATGTGCATTTTAAAAAAATATATTCCTTTCATGCAACTCACAAGAGATGTGCTTGACTGTATTGAGGTTTTTATGTCTGATGCTCAGTTTAGTATTATAATAACTCTGATATAACTCTTTTCATTGCCTAAATGCAAGATCTGACTAAAATCAGGCTCTATGCAAGCTGCTAATTGTTCGCATTCCCTTCAGAACGCTGCCTACTTTTATTTGGGTTCTTAAAAGAAATTACTTAGGAAATAGTCACCTGATTTATGCAGCGTTTTCACTTTGAAATGTGTGTGCTGTTTATATATACAAATTAAGGGCGTAAATACAGCTTTTGATACATCACACAGACTGCAGGAGTTTCTTCTGAACTGCAATACTTCTTCCAGTTTTGCAAATTTCAGGGACGTCCAAAGGGACTGTTGTAACAGAAGAAATAAGGTTCTTGATCCCGAGATGAATTAAAACAGATGAGTTTATTGCATGCAAGGAACAATAAAGCCGAAGTTGTAACGAACAGTTCTTTCCGGACCCTATGCGGATGATACAATCCGACGAAGTGGGGAAACACTGGGGAAACGTCATGCAGGAATACGGGGCTGAAGACGGGGGGCGTGTCCAAGGTGCGCTGGTGCACAGGGGAGGTGTGGCCGAGGCGAACAATCCGAGAGAGTAGTCCTTTGGGAATATCCAAAACACAAGGGTAAGTCCAAAACCAGAAGATCCATCAGAAAAAGAATTAAAAACCACGAAGGCCGGGTCGGAACCGGCGGACGGGGAACAGGAACGGGAACAGAGGTTAAAACCTTAACGGGACCAGGCGCTTCCAGGTCCCGGACTCGCACGATATGGAAATCAGATGCAGAGCCCGGATGAGCGTCAGCACCTGGCTTTTAAGGTGGGCTGGGAATAGGGAACAGGTGCAGAGAATAAAGTCTAGAGTTAAAGGGCTGGAGCACCCTTAAGGAGGGGGAACTAATATCGTGACAGAAGTCTTGTTTCCCGCAAGAAACAACAAAACCGAAGTATTGTTCGCCGTACTGTTACAAACTTTTGGGTTATATAGTGTCTTCTTCTCCGTTTCTGACGTCACTCGGTCTGATGGTAAAGAGGGGGGTTCATGGTATTTGGCCAGTTTACGATGTTCTGGACAAATGGTCAGTTTAAGATTACACCCAGGGGGGTTCCTAGCTTGCATCTGCAATCCTTATCAGTTAACCCCCTTTCCTGCCATAAACCCCAGCTTGTGACTTAGAAGTCTAAACCCCCTACAGAAAGGATTAAATTCAAACCCCCGTCTTCACATCTTTCTTCAGGTCTAACCGTGGGGACCAGGAGAGCGGAAAAAGACCCATATGCGTAGCGGCAAGACGGGAAAAAGGCCCGGGCTCATTAGTGCAAAGAGTTCAGGAATGCCGTATAGAAACCTATGCCCTCAGGGAGCGGTGCTAGGCCCTGGTGCTAGGCGGGTCTCAGGACATCCGAACGTCAATGCTAAGCCAGGACAGAGTGCAAGACCCGGAAGTATATAGCCCATGGGAAAGAGAGGGACCGGAAGGACACAGACCAGAAACCAGGGACAGGACAGAGAAGGAGCGCCCTCTGGCTGCAGAGGGCGTGACAGCAAAGAAGTGAGATGGTCTTGCATATTTCAAAGACTATTTTTTTTTTATTTTACATATCTGCCACTCAATCAAGTGTTGAACATTAGAAATTTAAGTTGACAAAAAACAGCTTGGAATTATATGTTCCTACATTTAAGAACATACGTATTGGGACAGTGAAGTCAAAATTGCTATTTTTGCTGTATACTCAAACAACTTGGATTTGAGATGAAAAATAAATATAAGACAAAAGTACAGAACGTAACCTTTTATTTCTGAATATTTCTGTGTTTATATATTATACCATTTTACAATAAAAGCCATTTTTGTGTTGAATCTCCCATTTCAGTTGACCTTAAGAATTGGGACAATTGACCACCAGGTGTTTCTTTGTGGTGAGGTGATTCCTTTAGTGTCTGCCTTTGGTAGACACTAATCAGTAGGCCTAAACCAACATGAAGACTAGAAAACTGTCTATAAAAGAAAAGCAAGAATTTGGAAGCAGAAAGAAACAAAAAAATAAATGAGAACTATAGCACAGAAACCGTGTATAGCAAAATAAACAATCTGTAATATTTTGAAAAACAGAAACCACTAGTGTACTTAGCATTCTGCAATGGCCAGGTTGGCAGATGAAAATAACTGCTGTTGATAACAAAAAAAAAATTATCACAGGTGTAAAGAAACTCTAAAACAACTTTTACAGTGAATGGGTGAAGGTACCACAAACTACTGCTTTCAGAATACAATAGAATAAAATAGAATGGCCAAATTACAATTTAAAAAGTACAGTAATAAGGCAGTAGAGTTCTGCAACAAAGTGTTATGGAGAGATGAGAACCTCTACCATAATGTATGGTACCATAACCTCTACCAAAATAAACCTCTACCAAAGTGTTAGCAAGGTGTAAATATGGAGAAAGGAACGAAATGCAGACAATCCATTTGTGAAATATGGTGGAGGTAGTGTCTTGGCTTAGTGTCAGAGGCTTGCATGACCGCCTCTGGAACTGGCTCTTTATCTTTATTGATGATATAATAAATGATTATAGCTTAAGATGTTTCTGTACACTTCTTGTCTGCCTACAGTATGTACAAGAAAAACATCCAGACTCATTGGCTGGTGCTTCATTATGCAGTAAGAAAATAATATGAAACAAACTGCCAATGCAACCAAGGAGTTCATCAGGGGGAAAAAGTGGAAGTGCTTAGACTGACCAAATCAACCTCCTGATTTAAATACCATCGAGCCAATATTTCACATGCTGAAAAGGAGACTGAAGTCAGAAACCCCCAAAACAAACAGCAACTCAAAATGGCTGCAGCAAAGGCTCGGTAAAGCATCACAAATGAACAAAGGTGATGTTAATGAGTCACACGCTTGATGCAGTTATTGCATATGAAGGATTTGCAACCAAATACTAAGTTTTAATTTAAGTTAATTTGTCCCAATACTTATGGTCACCTAAAATGGAGAGTGGATTAAAAAAATAGGTATTATTCTAAAATGTTAAACTATACGTATATGAGCATAAATACCCAGAAAAGGGTGAAATTCTGTACTTTTGCCTTATATTATTTTTTTCATCTGAAATTCAAACTGCTTGAGAATACAGCAAAATAAACATTTTGATTTCATTATCCCAATACATATGGATGGCACTGTTTATGCTGTACATACAGTAAAACACTTGGATTCAGAATACATACTGTATTAGGGAGAAAATAAGATACATTATGTCTTACTTAAGAATATGCAGTAATACATATGATTCCACACAGTTGATTCCTTGAAACATTTGGATTGCACAACATCTTATCCTTTTTATCTTTATTTACTTTAGATGATATGTTACAGTCAAGGCAAAGCCTCTTGTTATCTGGCCATGGCATTTTGATTACATCACAATACAGGCTTCAAGAGGTGGGTAGCAAGTTTGGTTTTCACCCATATTCAAAATGGATTGTTTTATCATGGCCAAAAGTTATTTATGTGGTGCAATACCTCTAAAGAAAGTGCCCAGTTTTTACTACCAGAGTTGAAGCTACACATGTACTGGCCATTCAATCACCTAGCAAGAAGCAGATGTTTCTTTGAAAGGGGAAATCAACAAAATGTTTCTTCAACAGGATTTACAATCTATTATCAGAATTCCTCTTATTTATCTTATTTACTCTTATTTCTGTTGAGGGTTACAGCCTATCACATATGCATAGGTTAAAGATGACACCCAGGATGGGATGCCAGTCAATCCCAAGACACATATACACAACACAGTGACAATTTAAAGATCAATTAGCATAAGCAGCATATCTGTACAAGGTGGGATGAAATCAAAATACTCTGTGGAAGCTTACTCATGGGGAGAACATTCAAAATCCACACAGAATGTATTACAGTTGAATCAATCCAGAATCTCTGAGCCCAAAATCTGTGAGGCAGAAAAGCTAACTGCCCACATTGTGCTACCCCAATCTAGCTTTTATTTAAGTAAATGCTAATAATGAACACCAAATGTATTTTGTATGATGGGGACATGCAGTACATTCTTAATTTTAACTGTCTATCTGGGAAAGTAAAGAAACAAACTGATGCCATGTGAAAGAATAATAATATGAAAAGGAGCAATATGTTTCTTCCATTATTAATAAAAATAAGTTAGCAGGCTTACTTCACCTGCCTTTTAAAAAAACTTTATTTTTTACTTTATGGCAGGGTGATCACATCAGTCTTTCCTTGCATTATATGAAATTACATGTACTGTACAGATTTGTAACATTTTCAGTTTTTGTTCTTGTTAAAAGGAAAGGTTCATCTTGCAAAGTAAGACTTCATTAAACCAATGAAAAGGTATCGTCTTTGCAAGGGACCACTGAAATTTCACATAAGACCATATACAAGTATTAGTCAATGTTTAACGAGAAATGCAGAAATGACATTGACTTCCAAAATGAAGTCCCCACAATGTTATCTTTTTCGTTGACAGGATATATTCTTTGCACATCATTGACAGGGTTTTTACCCAAATCAAAAACAGCCATCAGAACATTAACACCAAGAAGAATACCAAATCCTTGAATTAGATTCCACTTTTTCTTCCCTTTCAACCTAATGCCCTGTCTGTTAACAAGTTAAAAAAGCTTTCCTTTTATTAGAGAATGACCCATCATCTGCAATTTTTATTTCCTGGCTGCACAGACTTCCTATCCCTTTAACTGTCCACATGCACGTTCACTCCAGACACCTTTTGCTGTAAAAGAAGCTACTATACCATGTGCAAATACATATCCAATAGTACACAGGTGTAGTGCCCCTCTTGCCACCTCAAGGATATCATGCTTCTCCAGGAAACTCATTTATTTCAAACCGATAGTTGAGTTGTTTATAAAAAAATAAGCACAGACCTACAGTTGGTAGAAGCCTCAAAACTTCCAATTAATGTCTCTTTGTCAGGTAGTCCAGTACATTTTCTGTTGTTTATTTCCAATATACTTATAATTCAATAGGAGTACTACTGACTACAATTTTTAATCAAGGTATCTTTAAAAGATACAAAACAATAAAGACACTTTAAATCCGTTAATTTATTATTTTGCAGAAAATGGCCACTGGTGCATTATCATTCTTAGCAGGAGAAACGGTAACAGAATTTCCTTCTTTTGAATGTTTTTTCTTACAGTTTCTGATATGCTTGTAGATAGCGATGCACTAAAATATTAGCTTCTTCATGAACATTTAAAGTATTAAATGCTTTTTGAAGTTTTTGAAATTTGTAATTGTTTTATAAGGCTAAAATCATTTAATGGAAATACATTCTGGATTAAAATCCCCCTTTCCCTGCAAAAATAAATGTTATGCAAATAAAGAACAACAAAGAGACAACTATAAGAACTTGACTCTGTCTTAATTCCATTATTTTACGTAAATTTTTCACTGCTGCTCACTAAAAGGAATCGGTTTTAAATGCACTCTGAAAATACATTGAAATCATAATTTTAGTAAAATAAATTGATTGAGTTCAATTTATTAATAAACAACACTGTTTCAAACGAATTTTGTTATTAATTTGTGTGGTTTTATATATTTTTGGGGGAAAAGATAAAAATATCCACTTAAAAGAATACAAAGCAACACTGGTTTTACCCTTAGCGTAGAGATTTCAAAAATAGTCATGCAGAATCAACGGCATTCATTCATTCAGGCAATCATTGGCTGTTACAATAGCATATAATAAAATGTAATTCACTTTGAAGACTGGGTTTTGACGAACCTTTGGGAAGACTTGAAGAGAATGTTGCACGCAATCTCTCGTAACATCTGTTGGGACAACTCCCTTAAACCGTGCAGATCTCCCCAAACAATACAAATATCTAAAACATAACATTATTGACATCAAATATTCAAGAGGGAAATTATTATTTCTTCATGAATGCAATTGAAAAAGAACCGGTCAAAGGGGGGTATTTAAACTCTATATGGATTTATTTAGTGTATAAGGGTTGTCCTGCATCCGGATCAGACTGTGATGTACAGGATGTGTGTGCTTAACTCTATTGAACTCGAAAAATAGAGGAGAGAGCCTTTAATGCCGATAATAATCCACTTTATTCAACACCACATCCTTAACACAGCTTTGCTGCAATACATTTCACGTTGAACATACAGTAATTAACAATCTAAAAAGAGTCATCCCATAGATCATATAGCTGTTTGCTGTATAAATGTTGAGTACTTATGAATCACTACGGTGGTTATATGCAGTATGGAAACTCTTGATTTACTTTAGAAACATTCTCCACCGTGGCTGCAAAAATGTAATATGAAATCGAGGAATTGTTTTGCAACTTTCAAACCGTATAGATGACAATGATAAAACCAATCATTTAGAAGGTTGTTAATAATTACTCGACATTTCGAGATTCTAAATATATATTTACTGTAATATTTCAACCAAGATGATCGGAGGTATGCCCATTAATACACTTTTCTAAATCCTTAAACATTAACTAAACATACATAATGTTTTTACATAATTAGCTTAGAAAATGTAGTCTGATTTTTTTCTCACAATGAAACAAATCTATGTTCCATATCCTCATTGGTAAAATGTCATGACAAAACAGTCTTTTACAGAAATTACTTCCACTATAAGTGTTATTAAGGTTTTATTCAAATTACTTTGTACTAGTAAATAAAATTCCCAATATGTGCTAAAGTAGTAGTATAGCGTCCAACATACTGTAGTACTTTTTTTTTTGCTTGAGTAGTTGAGCAAAAGTTGAAATACACAGATAGTTTCACGTGCTCTAGTCCATTCCCATACAGAACGTGCTTTACCTTCAATGAAAGTTGAGAAGTGGTGCGATTGGCTGTCGATTCCGAGATCTGCCCTGATCTCAGATACAAAACCAAGAAAGCTACCCCTCTGAATTACAACAGCTCTCAGTAAGGTGGAGAGGCAGAAAAAAAGATAACTGGGGACTTTGGTATAGACTGTAACTCACTAGCGACAGAAGGCTCCAGGAGGTCGGCAACAGGAGTATTCTTAAAAGTGATCTTTTAGGTTATGACATTCGATCATAGCGATTTAACTACATTGGAAAAACTTTTCTGTGCGAAACTATTATTTACAGCTGAATATATATATATAAGCTTTTAGAAATCCACAATGACTTGCGGTCGACATGGATTGTTCTTCCTTTTCGGATGGAGTTTTATATTATACAGCGGATCTTGCTTTAGGTTAAAAGACCATTTATCTGGACTGAAGAGAAACGAAGAATCAGTGCGTTTTAAAAGGACCGGGAGTAAACATCAATCTATTCAAAGCGACGATGACCTGCTTTTACGGGATACTGCCTCAGATCACATGCGGATGCTCTATGACAAATACAACAGAGCAGGATTTAATTTCAAGGACGGAAATACAGTGCGCAGCTTTAAAGCACATTGGGGTATGTACTGTATGTTTTAATCGCATGATGTGTAAATTTCATTTGCAAATGACAAAAGTGTACTACAAAGCATATGATTGTGTAGTTAGGTATTAATGTATGTAGCATTATTTTTGAACATATCATAACTTTTAACTAATTCCAAGCTTCAAATTTGCTATTGCAGCCTTTGGCAATAAAAGTAGGAATACACCTGTTATTGGAAATGCCAAGCAGAGAAACATAGCTGAAGCTCACAACAGGGAACGTTTCTTTTGGGACGAGCACTAATATATATATATACCAATATGTTAGCCAACATACTAGTAGAACTTTTTCACTAAAGTTGTAAAACATAGAATTCAATATTCGCATTCGAAATGATAAATCTTACGTGTAGCGTATTAATACATTAAGTTAGAGATTAAAATGGAAATTAACATTTTAAAAGAACAATGAAAGCTCAGAATCTTTTTACAAACATACTTAGATTTAAAAAATATGAATATTAATGTCATGGCTTCGGCTATCTTATGAAAATATATTTGTTTGGTAAATTGTTTTATTAGACGCCGAATAAGACCAAATATGAACTAGGTTTCACACATCAAAATAGAAGTGATCTGGATTATAAATACTTTCGCACTTAATTTTTGAATTTCCTGCTATTGCCCTTGGGACTTTTGTTTCAGAGCGGAGTAAAAGAGCTAACCCCTCGCTTGAGTAGTTGATATCCAGCATATGTAAGAAAATACCCTCTCCTACTGGTGATTCAAAGAAATTCATATACTGTAATTGTCTGCCTCCCATGCCGAAAAGAGAGAGAGGATTACGGTTTGCTTAATCAGATTAACTAACTGGAGACTAAAAACAAAAACTAAATCTCCAGGACAACTGAATGGTAAATGGTTTAACTGAGCCAGCAGCCATATCACCCTGCAACTCACATCTGGCAACCCACTGAAGCTAAGCGGGTGTGAGCCTCATCAGTACCTGGATTGGAGACCTCCTGGGAAAAACTAAGATTGGTGCTGGAAGAGGTGTTAGTGGGGCCAACAGGGGGTGCTCACCCTGCGATCCATGTGGGTCCTAATGCCCTAGTATAGTGACAGGGACACTATACTGTAAACAGGCGCTGTCCTTCAGATAAGATATAAAACCGAGGTCCTGACTCTCTATGGTCATCCCAGGGCGTTTCTCGAAAAGAGTAGGGGTGTAACCCCATTGGCCCTTACCAATTATGGTCTTCTAATAATCCCCATCTATGAATTGGCATCATTACTCTGCTCTCCTCCCCACTGATAGCTGCTGTGTGGTGTGTGTTCTGGCGCACTATGGCTGCTGTCGCATCATCCAGGTGGATTCTGCACATTGGTGGTGGTGGAGGGGAGTCCCTGTAAAGTAATGGACTAGTAACTCCAAACACCTATACTGTATTCGCACTGTATATGAGTAGTGCTTCCTGCTCTTAATTTTGAAGTTACTTTGTTACTTACCAGGATTTTGAATATTTTGTACTTAGTTTGTAGTTAGTTAAAGGTAGTTTAACTACTCCACTAATACTGCAGAGATTAAACTTTTGTTGAGATTTTACAATATTTTTATGATGGTTAATAATAACAAGTAAAGCAGCTTTACTTTCAAGCTTGAGGCTAAGATGCTTCAATTATTATTAAGCTTCATAAATGTCACCTTCTGATATCCTATGCTACTTAAAATGTCAAATTATTATCAGAAGACAGACATTTGTCACTGCCACACAGCAGTGATGCATCTAAACAGTTTTGATCCTCTAAGATAGCTCAGGACTATTGCTCAGGACTATTGTTGAAAATGTTTCAATCTTTTTTTTTTAATTTTAGGCACAATTAGCAATAAGAAACTCCAAATATTTAATCTGACTACTCTTACCAAGTCAGAAGACATTCTTTCTGCCACACTGCACTATTACATCGGGGATATACTGAACAACACCCATGGCTGTATCAGACATAAGAACTGTGTTCCCCATCCAGGCTTCGGTAAACAGGCCCACATCCATCTTGGCGTCTGGAGCTTTGCTTCTGTGGATAACAATACCAGGACTCTGGGCCACTTTCTTATCAATGTTTCAACTGTCTATAGGGATTTCATATCTTGGCAATGGAAGGATATTACACATGTCCTCAGTGAAGCAAAACATAATGATGAGTTCCTTATAGGGATTCACATTGCCTCACAAGACCACAACGGCTGGAAAAAGTTACTTTATGGCCGTTCTCCCTACATACTAGTGTATGCTAATGACTCTGCAATCTCTGAACCTGAAAGTGTGGTTTTGACACTGCAGAAGCACAAGGGAGTGGTGGCTCTGGATCTTCAGAAAATGGGAATGCGTGCTGGGAACAATACATCTGAACGCAGGGCAAAGCGTTCTGCAAACATCCTGCTCCCCCTACAGAACAATGAGCTGCCTGGTGCTGAGTATCAGTACAATGAGGCCCAAGTCTGGGAGGAGACAAATCTGTCCAAGCATCTGGAGACTCAGCCGCCTAAGCTGCAGAGGAACAAAAAGAAGCAAAGAAAGAACAACCGACACAAAGTGCAGATGCTTCAGTTTGATGAACAGACATTAAAAAAAGCCCGAAAGAAGCAGTGGAATGAGCCACGGAACTGTGCCCGCAGATATCTAAAGGTTGATTTTGCAGATATTGGCTGGAGCGAATGGATTATTTCACCAAAATCTTTTGACGCCTTCTATTGCTCAGGGTCTTGCCAGTTTCCTATGCCAAAGGTGAGTATTTGTCTTTGCCCGATAACTCAGATAGGACTTTATTTGTGCCTCTAGTTGTTTCTGAAAAGAATTGCCCTACTTAATATCCAGTGTCTAGAAACCGGCTATTAAGAAACATTATCGATGCTAACATTGGCAGCAATGTGGAGTAATGCTTAGACATTTGAACCTCAAGAGGTCATGGATGCAAACCCTGGGTGGGATGCTGCTGTTGTACCCTTTTATAAATTGCTCCAGGAAATACCCTGCTGTATGAAAGAACTTACCTGGTAAAATGAAGGAATGAAAAGTATGGATTTTTTTATTTGGATTGCAAATTGTAGCAATGTAGCAGTAAACTTTGCTTCCCTGCATCAAATTATAATAAATACCTATCTCAGTCCTAGAGCTTCTGCATTAATATACTGTTCATCTGGTAAAGCTTCCATTCTTGAAGATAACCTTAGCTTTGATTCATTAATTGAGCTGTTTTCACACTGAGTTACAAAAGGCCCAGAACCGAACATAGTGTAGATGCTTACTGAAATATGTTAAATATATTACCATATGACAACATTTCCTTATTTAATTTGCATAACACAAGCTAAAAAAATACCCATTAAATAGGTCTTCCCCCAAATAAAGAATTAAGAATGCACTCAGGAGGAATCTTGAGTTGACATTCAAAAGCTACAAATATTTCTGTTTTAAATTTAGTTTAAATGTTCTAGAGAATGCATTCCCAGATTACAGCTGGCTAAGCCTGACAACTAAGAAATGATAATGGGCAAAGCATGGTTTGGGACACTATGTTGACACTACTGAAACAAGGTTATTTGACAGTAGTAAATCTATGTTGTTGGACTGAACAATTCCAATGAACACCCAACATAAGAATATGATTGCAGCCTTAGGCTGGGGATATTGAAGCAAGAAAGTTTTAGCATATTTGATAGGAAACAATATATTCTCTTTAGTTAACTTTAGCAAAATGAAGCAAAAAAATGTTCATTTAAGTTAAGTGGTGTTTTCAAAGAGATTAAAGGAACAGATGTACCCTTGTATATTTGTTCCTTCAAGAAGAAGCAACTTCCAGCTTCCAGAAGCAACTTCAATTCTATAACTTCCAGCTGGCAGTATTCACATAAATATATTCACATATATTTTTCACAGATTACCAATCACCATAATAAAGATTTTCACAGATCACCAAAATTAGGGTTACACCAAATACACCAAGTTTACTAGCTCTACTAACATCAATGGTAATTATAAATTACTATCAGAGACCTAAGCACAATGAGCTAAATATATTTTGGTGCACTTTTTATGTTTTCATTTTGAAAGATGAATTAATAGTGCCATCTTGTGGCAGACGGCTTTTTATATCTCTGTGAACACTTCACCTTTATCATCAATAAATACGCTCTATTATTAATACAGTTACAGCACATAAGGCCCCTTGGCTCTCTCAAATTCTCATAATTCCCAATGTTCTCTGTAGAAGTATACCCTGAACCCCTTGACTTATTTATTTGTGTTGAATTTTACTAAAGTCATCTAAAGTCACAAAGTTAGTCTCTCTTCAAAAAAGTGTGGAGATTTAGCTTTGTAATTTGCTTCCTCCAAATTAATAAGTACCGGAAGACTTGATTATGATCTCAGGGACATGTTTAATAAGATAACTTTAGGGGAGCTTTAGTTTTGGCAGATAAAACAGCTACTGTATATGTGTATGCAATCTGAATAACAATACATTCACTAATCCTAGCATAGGCATACTGTATACTGCACAGTAGCTACAATGTATGTTGGCCACTTGGTGATTCAGATGTTGTTTCTATAGTTTCTTTTTCTTTCCAAAATTAATGAAAATAGATTTTTCTATTGCTAACCTAGATATTCTTTGAACAGCTGAATATCCATAATTCATAATGAAGTTGTAACCTGAAACGTGTAGAAAATTACAAGTATTGTTTATAGTAAAATGCAGTACAAGTAGCAGCAGACTTAGGAGTCAGAAAAGAAGATTCAAAACACTTCAGAAGATTTATTTTGTGTTTTTTTTCCTCTTTCCAGCAACACTTGATTTTTAAGAGTGACAAACAGTTTGAGTCAGCTACTGTATGTAATGAGCTTTGTTAAAGTTTGCATGAGATAAAACATAAGTCATGACATAAGTATCTCTATAAGTATCTTATGACATAAGATCTGTTATCTTTGGAAACCTAGTCAAATTCAGACTGGGTGATAAATTGAAGTGTCTTTAAACAGTGTGGATTAAATTCATTGTAAATATTAAGCAAGGTGTTTAGTTTGTAGATTTTTTTTATAAAAGTATTTTTACTGTACTGTTTATTATTATAAATACTACACAGATCAGTGGAGTATGAGAAGTAGAGTATCTGAAGCAGCTGGATCAAAGGATATCACCTGTTTTTTTTCACCCACTTAACATTGTCCCTCACTTAGATTTTCAAAATTAATGTTAAAATGAGCAATTTACTTTTTTGCTTGTTCTGTAAAATTATTAACTAAGCTCACAAAATGTCATACGTTTTCACTCACAAGAAAATAGGAAACAATGTTCAGAAAGAATCCACTCCTTTTTTTTTGCTTTTTTAAATAATGTATTTCCATGAACAAAATATGCACTTAGTTCTCATTTTTATTATCCAATTTTGTGTAGACGTGTTCACTTGATAGCAGTTTCAGAAGGTTCTGAGGCTCATTATTTTATGACTTTAGGGGGAGTAGTAAAGCATTTTGAAATTCACACTATAAAATGAGGAAAGGCCTATTCAAATAACAGAGTCATTCTGTGATGACAGATTTTACATTATCAGCAAGTCATAGCAGACAAAGTGCCTTTTGACGAAGATGAAAAACTACAGGAGAGTCTCTTGTAGCTTAAACAGTGAAGATGTTTTACACTGAGTTCATGTTTAGCCTGGAGCGGGACTTCAAGTTGGATAGGCTTGAGTCAGCAGTATCCTTGGTTTGCCACCTCACAGAAACCCCTGTGTATTGCTGATCCATCAGCGAACATTTTGGAGGAAGGCATCCATGGTCTTCATCTCTTTTATGGTGGTACTAGTCTTGGGCTTGGTACAGAGGTGGGTTGTGCTGATTGGCAGTAAGTGAGTTGAAAATGGTGGGTTATAGAAAAAGGAAACTAGATTTAATTTCTTGGGAAAACAAAAGCATATTTTTTTGCCAAACAAGACTTGCCACCTTGAATTGCTGTCAGTGAAACATCCAAAGCCAAAGTGTTACTGTGCAATAATTTAGGGGTTGTGCTCTTTGTTGATCTGCTTGTCTGTCTTGCAGTCTTTAAAGCCTTCCAACCATGCCACCATCCAGAGCATTGTCAGGGCAGTGGGAGTTGTCCCTGGCATTCCAGAGCCCTGCTGTGTACCTGAAAGGATGTCTCCCCTCAGTATATTATTTTTTGATGAAGACAAGAATGTTGTCCTCAAAGTCTATCCAAACATGACTGTGGACTCCTGTGCCTGCAGATAACAGTGCAGTGAACAACTAAAAGAATCTTCCACTTGGACTTTTTTTCATTTGCACTGGAAGAGAGACTACAAAAATAAACTAAATAAAAAATAATAAATAAATGATTTTCACTTTTAGAAACTTGAAACATACTCAATCTTTATAGGAAACAGAGAATATTCTTAATTATCCTAAAGTCAAATCTAAAGAACACTCCTTTTTCTTCTTGTGAACTTGATAAGCCTCAGCATTAGAAACCATATGGTTGCTATCTCATATCTCATAACTCATATGGTTGCTATCAGTATATTTTTTGTACACTATCAAGGCAAACTAAAGATTTGCTACATTATGCTTTGTTCTTCTGTACTGTAGATTATGGACACAAGAGCTGAGCTGAACAACAAGAGAAATATGCTTTAAGCACCCATTCAATCACTATAACTGCCTGCTCATTTATTATATTAATACTGTCTTTTTTTCTCAGGCATATCAAAATCAATTAAATGAAAATCATGGGCATATGCATTTTTGTATATTTGGAGTCATTGTTTTAATGTCACTTAACATTAAACTCTGTTTTGTTTTTCCAATATTTCACACTTAAATCATGTGTATATATATATATTTTCCTTTTAATATACATTTATGGCTGCTAGTAATATTGGATTCCAAAGACAAAATGTAATCAAAACTGTTTCTTCTAAAGTAGAAAATATTTAAGTTGGATTATTTTTGTGATTTTTGTAATGTCTTTAAGAAACAAATGATATTACACCATTAATTAAGCATGGTAAAAGGATTCTGTAAGGTCACATACAAGCACTCTGATGCTGTACTTGTTTCTGAATTGCATGCCTTACAAGTTGACATGATATAATCCTTCCTTTTTCGACTTCTAAATCTGTGTTTAAAATCCTTCATTTTCTTAGTGTTTGTGTGCCCTTTATATGGGTTTCATATTTCAAGTGTTAGTACTCACAACACTTTTAACCATGTGTCACCATTAGAAAAGTAGTAGATGAAAGGAGGCCATATGGGCTTCCTGACACTTTTTGTAGTATTTAATTAATTTTGGAATCCCATCAAGCTGTCCCTTGAAGGAATTTGAACAGATATCAGTGGGGGTAAGATGTTTGCCTAGTATTTAGAAAGGTCATGTGCCTGAGTATTGTAATGTTAAGTAAATTTAGAAGAGTGCTTAATAACTGATGAGCAGAGTGGTGGCACTGTGGCTAAGGATCTGCACCTATGGCTGGAAGGTTGCTAGCTCAAATCCCACGGCTGGCAGAGGAATCCTACCACAGACTTCTCTCTCTCTGCTTGTGTGTCTCATGGAGAGCAAGCTGGGGTATGTGAAAAGATACATTCCTAATTCAAGAAATTGTATATGGCTTATTTAGTGATCTGATAAATAAAATAATTACAACCATAATCATCATAGAAATTTTGGGATGCTATGAAACTCAAGGATGAAGATCATTTGTGTGTTTTACAGAGATATGGTGTATCAGTTAAAAGTTATAGATGTAACTCTGTATCATGTGTTGACCACAGTTTGTCACCTCGTGGTCATATCTACATTGAGAAGAGTTAGAAATCCAAAACATCCGTGCACAGCAAGAGTAGAGATGATGCAGGTGGCATATAGACAATTGAAAACAGCCTTTTATCAAGTCATTTATAGTTATTTCTAACACTTATATGTCAACATCCTTCTTTCTTTCATTTATTATGTTATGAAAAAAAGATTAATACTGAAATGTGAGACTAAATAGAAGCAGTCTACAGCTTTCTATGGAAATGAAAGCTTTAGAAACTGTTCTACTATTGTTGCTGAACTGTGAGTATGGAAGTTTATTTTATATGGAAATATTGGTACATATTACATTGGGATTGAGAGAAAGTATAAGAGAGAAAGACACATCTTGAGCTGGTAGGATATTATAAATGTCTATGCTCTTAGTGATTCTGACATTTCATCATCCACCCCAAACCATCTCCTTTATTCTTTCTTTACAAAATTCAGAAAATCTAAAGCCAGTCCGTGTATTAGAAATGCATTTTTATCATATCATTTATACATCCCTATGCAGCTGTTAAAAGTGTTTGGTGTCTGTATCATAATATGGTAACATGCAATACTTCAATGTCCCTACTTTCAAAGAGAAACTCATGGAAAAGAGGGAGAAAGCAATATTGGTGCCATGATATTCACTGTATGTGTGCTCTGTTACATGTAAGTATATATACACACAGAGGCAAATATATATATATAGATGTATAGCTATAGTTCAATATTAAGAAGCATTTTTAACCTTTGAAATAGCTATTTTCAAAATTATTTGTAGGCTTCATATATGCATTCAACTGCTGCTCTGATAATTATACTGTCAATATTTAGTGGGATTTTATTTTGTCTGTTATGTTCAGATCTTAATAAGTATGACTACATTTGAACCTTTTGATTATTGTAGAACTTTATTCTATCCTTTTCTTTTTTGTTGTTCCTATTGGTCTGCAGATGGAAAAATAAATAGGCCCTCCCTGATAATATGTTCCTTCAATAACTGGCTTAACTCCGACTTCAAATATTTTTATCTGCGTCCCCGCCCATATCTCATATCTCAGTCAACAAGCACATACAGTACAATGAATTCCTTAAACCAAATACTTATAAAACTTTTTTAAAGAGTTTAATACAATTTATAGATATGTAGTTCAGGTGGGTAGGTGCGTCAGCATGCGTAGGCTGCAAAGGAACAAGTAATAGGTTTATTCCATGCTGAAAAAAATAAGAGAGAAAACACAACGTTTCAGCCGTGGAGCCTTCTTCAGGTGTACATATCAATATACATAGATATGTATATTGGTTTTGTATATATTCTTAAATATACTTACAGTACATTACTTTACAAACATTTTAACATTTTAATATACACTACTCATACAGCTTAAGTCATAAATTAAGTCCTAAAAGACATAGATTTATGACTTAATCCATTTTTTTCACTGTTATTCTAATTTAGAGAGCATACCGATATCAGGTTATATTGTCATTTTTCATGTTTTTTGTTGGAATCTTCTATATAAATACTAATGACTATATGCTTATATATGTCTATATTGGACATATATACTTATATATATATATGATTATATAGTATATATGATGAAATATTTCTATATACTTAACACATATCTCCTACATACTTAAGAAACAATTTTGTTTTATATTTGTCCTTTCAGAATTTTTGCATCCCTGTCTGTTTCTATTACAGTTCTGAAGAAATTATACTATTGCATGTTTCAAAAGAATGAAAGTTGTTGTGTTGCGTGTTGTGACTTGAGTTTTACACAATGAAATTAATGTGCTTTAAGAATTTAATACACCATTTTACAACTTTGGGGTGTTGAGAATAAAATGAAAAAAACTAAACAGAAATGTTAACATTAAACTAAACTTTATACTGCATATACAGTATATAAAACATGTTTGGGAGTAAATGCTCATTGTTTGAACACATTTTTTACATTTGTGTTTTATATGATGGTTTAAATATATAAATAAAAGCTTTATATACACTGTAAAGTCTTTCATGTAAATTTCAAACTCTTAAGTAAAAGAAAATGCTTGTAAAATAAGCTTAAATATATTTGTATATGGAAAGAAATGTTTAAAAGCATTTTATTTATTGTATGTATTTTCTTTATTATTCATTTTAAAATGTGGTTGTATGACAGGTCATGTTTTTTGCAAACTGTTGCAGTGGAGAAAAAATTAGTTTATTACAGACAGTCAAGCTGTGATGGGCAGTTGTCACTACTGATGTTTAAGCTTGCTTCTTTGTTGAGTTTCCCTGCAGCACTTTCTATGAACTATCAAATTAATAAAGCTATGTATTTCACAGTGTATTGCATTTTTTTCTGAAATAAGATATTGTAGTGTGGCTTTTTAGTGTAAAAGAAACCTATAGTATAGATACTGTTAAGGTAAATTTTATATCGTAGCTGAATCGACCTAAAAAGTCTTTAACCTTTATTATTGCTATTATTTTATATTGCTACTAATAGTTGTGGTGTAGTAGTAATTTCTAGTACTTTGTAATTACATCTAAAGTACATTCTTGATATTTTACATTATTATCTTAGACACAAGTACAGTATTATGACACGATATTTGATTTGAAAAGCTTGTATTTTGTCTTTAGTATTAATAGTAATTTGATTGCAAAATGTAATACATTGCACATACCGAGGAAACGAACATTCATTTTTTTCAGCAAATAGAGATTGAGTAAGCACAATGCCCAATATAAAACATAACACATCTGGGTAATACCTGTAACAGTATAGCTTTAGTGATGGAAAGCAGTAGGACATTACCAGTTTGATTTTATTATTTAAAATCCATTCCAGAATCTTCAATTCTCTCTTTAAGTCTCAGTTCATAGTGGCAACCCCTCTACCAACACAGGGAGCATAAGAAAAAGAATGAACAGACAGGCTCCTTTGTCCTGCCCACCTGTGGAGCCGCACATTTTATGACAGTGGTGCTGACTGGAAAAAAAAGGCACATCCTTCATTGTTGTTTGCTTTCTTGAAAAGAGCTGAAAGTACCCTGGACAACTAATCCCAATCCTATTGAAAGCAACTAAGCAAAAACTACATTTTTAGTCTCTTTGATATGTAGTACAGTGTATTGTGGTGTCACGTGTTGACCTCACTAGTTTATTAACTATACCAGAACCTACAGTAGATCATGGATGTACATTAAGAAGTGCCAATGTCTAATATGCAATAGATCCTTTTTATACTCAACTAACTAACTCAACCAAATCTGAGCATTCAACCTGTATCTGTACTCTGTTTCCAATCCCTTAACAAATTCTTAATCCAAAAAATATTCAGTACATTGAACACCATTGAAATTTAAGAAATAATTGTTTATTAGGAGATTTATTACAATTCTGAATATACTGTACCATATGATCTATGTGGAACACTGCTGTTGCTTGTTCAGACGTATAGTTACGTAATTAAGATTTGCCTTTTCTAAATACCATGTTGAGTAACTCCTATAATCTTGTTGCCATACAGCATATTTTGTATTATATTTCTAGTTATCATTTTATAAGCTTAATGTAATATAAGTAAAGCTTATTGCTCTATATTATTAAGTTTGGCTATATTATTTAGTTTACCCTTTTTATGAATGGTGGCTACAATAGCAATTTTCAGGTTAATGGGTATTACACCAGTAACCATATTAACCCATGTTTCAAGTATCAGAAGAGTCCTGTTAATAATCGAATAACATATGTTGTATCCTTAAGTAAAAATACTATTTAACAGAAACTCTAAATAACAGATGTTTTTTAATCTCAGGTTCTTCTAATCCTTGTGTCACTTCTGAATTAATACTTTTTAATACAGGGCTTAAACAGCTGTTGCTCAGCCCAGAAAAGGTTGTAATTTCTTCATTGATAAGCACCCTAGTTTAATAGTAATTTTACATATGAGATATGTTCCTTTCATACAAATGTCAAAGTCAAAAGGTTTCTTATTATTATCACTGAGAAACGTTATATCTTATTATACTATTTTT